GTTATTCCTCCAGGTCTCAGGCACGAACCCCTGAAGCGCAGCATCAGCAGCCTGCCGCGCCGTCCTGGCCTTATTGAGCTCAGCCGAGGCCTCCGCCAAGGACAAATCCGCCTCTTGGAGTTGATTGCGCAACTTGTTGCACTTCTCCTCACGGAAACTGATATCCTGGTGTGCGATCCTCTCAGTACGCGCAGCTGCCTCGAGCTCCTTAGCCAAGCGGGTACGCTCCTCACGCGACCAGCATCGAGTTGTTGTTGGCTCCATTCTGCAGGAAGGGACGGAGCGGGTGCAGCCATTGGCTTAAGATGGACCCGTAGCTCAGGACGGGCACGTAATAGAAGGTTGGCGGCATTCCGAAGTTCCTCATCATCAGCTGGTGCGTCAGGCTCATCGTAGTCCATCGCACATTTGTCAATCTTGGGATCCACTCCATAGTAGGCACCGCCACACTTGGAGCAGCAGGGATGTCCTCGATGTTTGTACTCCCAGTGGTAGCATGTGCTACAAACGTTGTACCCACTGGAGGGACGAGTGCCATCTCGCCCACGGCCGCCACGGCCGCCGCGCGTTCCCCAGCCGCCGACATGCTGCCAGGAAAATCTCCATGGAGAGTAGGTGAAGCCATGATCAGCACCAGCATCAGCATCTTTGTTGCGCCACGGTGCGCCGCGGGCCATGGCACAGATGCAGAGGAAGGGATGTACAGTGATAGCAGAGAAAAGACATGCCAGGTCTCAAGAGACCTTGCCAGCCGCGGTGACAGCGGTGTCCGTTCAGGCACGGAGGCGCGGAGCCCCCAAAATGCAAACATCTTGAGCCAAAATGGCTACGGGACGCCGACAACGACGACAGCGAGGACGAAAACGAAAACAAGGACGGAGACGACGACGACAACGACAACGACGACGATGGTGATGACGAGGACGAGGACGAGGATGAGAGCGTGGACGAGGACGAGAACGAAGAAGACGAACGACCACGATTTCCCGCCTCTGAAAGTCTACTGATGTCTCCTGAGTCCTGGGGAGATCTCTGGAGGCCTCTGGAAGCTTCTGCTGGTCCTGCGAGGCCCTCGGACAACACGACGACGACGAAGAGGACGGGAACGAGGACAAGGACAGCGATGGCGACGACGACCACCACGACGACGACGTCGACGACGACAACGACAGCGGCAACGACGACAAAGACGACGGCGACGATCAGTGTGACGACGACGACGGCCGCCTCTGGAGGCACTCTGGTGCCTGTCAGCACTAAACCATGCCCGTGAGCACGGCGTCATGGCTGTGGGGGGCCGGGACCCCCTCCCCGTACGTTCGTTACCGTTCCCGGGGGAGGGGGATGGGGGCCCCCGTACTGGAAATTACGGGTTCAACTAATGAAAACCATTCTCAGGAGAGGCAAGCCGACGATGACCAACGCCCAGGGCACAGGTGGGAGGCCAAATCAGCCAGGACGAAGAAGCAGCAGACGAGCCAGCGAGCAGGGAGAGGGGGGGAACTTGATGTTTGGTTTGCTGTGGACCGCTACCAGTTGAGCTTCCGAGGAGATTGCCAAAACCAGAGGAACATGAGATGTTACCCAGCGTGGACCCCAAACAGCGAGCAATTGCACTGTGGAGATGGAAGCTATGCGGTGTAAGCTATGTGGTGCGAACTATGCTGTCGAAACTGTGTACTGTAAACTATGGAGGTGGACTCGGTGCGGTGTAAGCTATACATATATGTGGTGGGAGCCATGTCGTGTAATCTGTGTGGTGTAAGCTATGTTGTGCCAGGTATGTGGTGAAAGCTGTGCGGTGCGAACTATATAAGTAAAGTCGATGCGGTGCACGCTATGTGTGTATGTATGTATATATTATACATGTGTATGTGTGATGCAAGGTATATCGTGTAATGTGTATGGTGTGAGCCAGAGGTCAAAGCTGTGTGGTGTGCGTTGTGCGGTGTAAGCCGTGCTGCTCAACTGTGTAAGCTGTGCGGTGCATCCCTACGCGGTGCCAGCCGTGCCGTGCACGCTGCGTGGTGCCAAACCCGAGGCACGGGGCGCCCACGAGCGCCGACGAGGTGGCACAGACGGCACCGTGGCGCGACCTCGGCCGACCCACCACGCGCACGCGGCGCAAACGAGCGCCCGCGAGGCGGCGCGGGGCGCCCACGAGCACCCACGCGGCGGCAGCGTGGAAGATCCTCGGACGACCCACCGAGTACCCAAGGACCTGAAGCAAGAAGGCCTGTGTGCAAGTACTGTTTGGGAAATAAATCGGCGGTAGACAAACCTCCCTTGAGTAAACCTCCCTTCAGTGAAAACGGCCTGGGACCGAAACCGACGGACCTGGACCCGCAAAAATGACGGCCGCGACGCCCTCTCACGAACCGAAAAGGGCCAATTCGCTAATTGACGTGTCAGAATAGGAGGTCTGTCCACCCCCGAAAATAAGCTGTAGATCTTCTTGATAGAAGTGCACCGGAGCTCACCCAGCCAATGCACTTCTCTCTGGGGACTTCCACGAACGGAGCCTCCGCAGCGCTTCATGGTGGTGTGCAATCAGAGAACTGGGCAATGCGGACATAGATGACGGATTCATGAATCTGTCGCGTGAGCGCCAAATCCACGTCTGAAAGTGTCGTGCTGAGCTGCAGCTTTTTCCGCGAAGGCCCTGGTGCAGATACCCCGTGTGTCTAACCATTCTCATGATGTGCATATCACATTCTTGCATCGCTTAAATCTCACTATGTATCCCCCTAGCCCGCCAACACCACCGGAGGCACGCCTCGTCCACGAAACAGAAGTTGCCTTCTTGAGCCTCGAGACGGCTCTAGAGGGTGTCGATAAGACACAAGATGGCTCCAAGACGGTCCAGGATGACCTCAAAACGGCCCAAGCGGACCCCAAGACAGCCCAAGAGGCCCTCAAGACTGCCAAAGAAGGCTCCAAGAGTACCCTCAAGGGAGCCTTCAGAGGCAAACAACCATGATCTTCCAGTGGCTTTGGAACGATTCTACCGTTCTGGCCTTCTCGGGCTTCCGACACCCCAAGCCAGCCCCGGACGCATTAAATATAGCCACAACACGGCCCAAGAAGTCCCCAAGAGGGTCCCAGGATTGCCTAAGAGGTGCCCGCCCAATGAGCCCCCAAATTGCCCCAGGACGGCCCAACTGGGCCTCAAGGCAGCAAGAGAGACCACCAAGACGACCCTTGGAGGCCCCAAGATAGCACCGAGACGGTCCATAGAGGCCCCAAACACGATCTCCGACGACACCAGACGGTCCTGCAGCGTCCGAAGACGGCGCAAAAGTCCCAAGACGCCCCAGCAGGCTCCAAACAAACCCCATGCAGCCCCAAGATGTCCCAAAAAGGCCTCCGAAAGATCCCAAAGAGGGCCCAACCTCACGCAACTGACGTGCCCTGGCCTGCCGGCGCCCTGCCTCCCCCCCCCTCCTCCTCCTCCTCCTCCTCCTCCTCCTCCTCCTCCTCCTCCTCCTCCTCCTCCTCCTCCTCCTCCCTCCTCCTCCTCCTCCTCCTCCTCCTCCTCCTCCTCCTCCCTCCTCCCTCCTCCTCCTCCTCCTCCTCCTCCTCCTCATGGATCGGGAAAGGCACAGCCCAGAACATGGGGCCTATAACCTACGATCTGGCGACGGAGCGCGCCGAGTCTGTGCGCAGAAGCAGGACCCGTCGCTAATCAACGCCCTAATCCATGCTTGCGCTTCCTCAAGAGAAGGAGTGCGGGGAAGGCGAGGCGGAGGGAAAAAGACCCCCCCCCTTCCTGGTCCCTTCCCCTCTTCCTCCGCGTCCTTATCCTCGTCCGCCTCCTCTTACCTCCACCCGCAAAAGCCAGCCTCCGGACCTCTACTGAATCGGGCTCTGACCAGGACTTCGAGTCGGATACGACGGACCTCTAGGTGTCCCCTCAAACGAGCTAAACAAAATGAAACGATTATCCTCCTACTACTTTCCCCACTTCTCCCCCCTCCCCCCCAACATCTGTTGACGTCGTGACACTTGTTTACAACGTTGCTCTGGGACCGTCTTTCCATGCTGAATCGTCTTCTGATTGCCTCGAAACCCCGTGAGGGCCCCCAGGCCCCCTCCCCAGCGCGCGGAGCGCGCCAGGGGCGGTGCCGGAGGCGCTGACAAGAGCCCCCAGCGCCGATCCAATAAATCCGCGAGGAACTCCGAAAACTTCTGTTTATGTAACGTTTTCTTTTTCAAAAGGAGACATATTCAGAGGCCGAATATTTCCGAGAACCTTCCGCTGTGATCTCTTCACGGTGCGAGGGGTCTGGGCTAACTACACGCAAGAGTGACCCTGGGCAAGGAGTCACCTTTGGTGCGCGGCTTTATAGGGGTCCGCGGGGGGCCAACTCCTAACGCGCGAGCCAAGTGCTGGGCGGAGCCCTGTGAGCCCGCACCAAAGGTCACTCTGGCGAAAAGTTACTCTCACGCCGGGCCGAGTCTGGGACTCCTCCACCTCCTCCGGCTTCTCGGCCATCTGCCACTCCGCTGAGTGCACAGTGCCCCCCCCACCCCCCCGCAGCTGCGAGGCAGAGGGCGCAGTGCGACAGCACGGTATACAGTCGAGGTTCGAGGTCGACTGGAGAGGACACGCGAAAAGACACAAGACCCTCCCGAGGGCCACGTTGACATAGGAATGCAGAAGGCAGGAACCGCGAAACAAAGGGCACAAGGGTACCCTCGATTTGGCAGGGTTCACCTACAGATCAACCTCGACCGCACCCGCTCCCCCCAACGCCGGCGAACATATCCGTATCCGCACCCTCGCGGTCTGGATTCTGGGGCGCGATTCCGCGGATTTGCGGTCGCAAGGATGCGTTCCGGGCGGGGCATCCGCGAAATCACGTCCCGTAATGAATTATCCGCGGGGTCGCAGCCCGGAAGCCCCGTCCCGCGAAGCCGCGGATACGGATCAGAGCTTCGCCCACGATGGGAGGCTGGCCCGGACGGGTGAGAGCGAGGGGCCCCGCCGCCACCGCGTCCTCGCGGTGTTCAGCTTGATCGTGATGCCGCGCTCGCGCTCGATGTCCATGGTGTCCATGATCTGGTTCTGCATGTCCTTGCCAAGCGGAGGAGGGGGTGGGGGCGAGTGCGGCCAGATTCCCAGGCCAGGGTCCGCTTCTGTCACGTCTGGGGGCCCGATGCTCCTGGGGCCCTCCCATCAGTTGTCCCGTGGCGCTGCTTCGTGCCTCCGGGCGCAGCCGAGGCCCAAAAGGGGCTTCGTTCTCTATCCAGGCTGCCTCTGGCAAAACTTCGACAGCAGGGACAAAAGCAAGATGGCACCACCACCAGGGACAAGAGCCGTGGTCCCCCTGGTGGTGCGGCCACCCGTCTCGCAGCGTCCGGCTCGAGACATCTCCGATCTCCAAGTCGAGGAGGCATCGTGAACCTCCTCGATGGAAGGTGGCCCGCTGCTGGTGGTAGTGTCGCTTCTCCTCCATCCGAGGGAGGGACCGACAGCTCAAAAGACTGAGCGTAACCTACAACAACGGCTGCAAAAACACTGCAATACTCGCCGTTGTCGACGATCGAAGGTCGAAGATCGAGACATACGTGCGCTTTGGGGCGGCTCCTGAGGTATGTTTAGCCTCTCCGCGAAGCTCTGGAGGACCCTGTTGGGAAGAAGAGGTTGTGCAGACGAAGCGTGGCCACAAGAGCTCGGGTCAAGAACAGAAGCCCATTCGCGAAGGGCCCAAGGCGCAACGAAGATACCCCAAACGAAGAGCACTCCAAGGTGGAGAGCCCAAGCCCGAAGAACAGATTGGGTACCCCATCCAAAACTAGGGCCCTGTTAATTCTGCTAGGTGCAGGGAAGGGGGTGGGGGGGCACTTGATCGACCCCGCGCTGCTTGAGGCCGCCAAGATAGTGGCGGCGAGTAGATGGGGTCTGCAGATCGCACCGGCGATGCATCGGCGACGTCGGAATCGAGAGAACCGGGCTGCAAATTTTGGACCCCCGAATTGGGTACGGAAACACATGCTGGGATGCCCAACAGCGACTGCTGCCCAAAACCGACAGCGGCCACTGATGAGCAGGCGGGCGGCCTTCTGTCTCACATGGGCAAAGTCCGCGGCGACGCCGACAGCGAAGCCTGCCAGAAAATGGGCAAACACTGCTGTCGGTCTTCGTGCCCAGTCTTTCCGTACCCATTTCGATTGTACCGACAGATTTCGCAGCATCTTGAGCAAGGACCGACAGTCCCGGCATTCCTACAGGCCTACCGCGACATTTTCTTAGCACAAAAAGAAGTCCTGCTAACAACAACAACAACAATTACTAGCACGTGGGGACACTCCGTTCTCACCAGTGCCAGGGTTTTCATAGGAGGCGGGCAATACCCCCACTTTGTGGGGGGGCCGGTTCAAGCTCTACCAAATTTCCAAACGACTCTTCGCCACCACCCACACCCAGCTTCCCGCCCTATGACGTTCGGACACTTCACTTCGTGGCATGCGGACGACCGTGGCTACTATTCAGGGCCCCGCGGCCGACGACGACGGCGTGCGCGCGCGAAGAAAAAACGAATGTGTCCCGCATGGTATTATTTGACAGGGATGATGGCCCTGGCAGGTGCGCAACCGTTGTTGCAGAAGTTCGAAAAAGTTGCTCGCAAAAGCCCGTTTGACAGAAATGTTTAAAAAGTGTTGGGTTTCCTACGAATCCGCAAGAGCGCGCGGGATGAGATTTTGACAATTTGTTGTTGAAAAACCATTGGTTTTTTGATGTTTTTATGTTAAAATCGCTGCGAACACTAAGGTTTTGGAAGGATTTCGTCTTGCGCGCGCGAATGTCCACTTTACCTTATTTTTTGCAAGGGATTCTTGAAATTTGATTATATTAGAACAAGAAATGTCATTTTCTATTGTTTTTTGCAAGGGAAAGCGGATTACAACAAAACAACCGGATCCTGTACACACCCTCTTTTCTGAGGCTTCCTCACGAAAATGATGAAAATGTAGCTGCGGCCTAGGCGGCGCAGGGGGGGCGCGCACCAGGGGGCCCAACAATAATTATTCTCTAGAATAAATAATGTTCAACAACAACAACAACAGCAACAGCAACAACAACAACAACAACAACAACACCAACACCAACACCAACACCAACAACAACAACAGCAACAGCAACAACAACAACAACAAGTTCCTTATGAGACCGATGGATCAGACCAAAACGCCCTCGGCCAACCTGCTCTCTAAGAACAGTGCGTGCAAATCACGAACACGGTATTATCACGAAAACGGTAATCCATAAACCGGCCACGACGCTCTTCGCCACAACTTGACCATCGCCGATACCTCGGCGACCTCCCAGAGCCCCGCTGTGCCCAGGACCCCGCCCGGGCGGGCCCAGAGCTGCGAGCGCGGGCGGCGCGGGCCGCCGCGCCTCCGCCCCCCGGCGAACCCTCGCGCGAAGGGCAGCAGCAGCAGCAGCCCTCTCCAGCACGGGCTGCAACAAAAAGGCCGGCGGCGCCGGCGGACACGAGAGGCGGGGCGACAGAGGACGGGAGGGAGGGGTGACAGAGCATGGGTGGTGGATGGGGTCGACAGAGGAGTGGTGGGATGCGGCAGGGGCGAGGGAGGCGGGACGGAGGGCACGAGGGAGGCGGGGGAGGATGGGAGCTGGGGCGGAGCGAGGCTGGGGGGGGGGGAGGGCCCAGGGAGAGCTCGCGTGCGCAGCCGTCTTGGCTGAGGCCGTCTTGCCTTGGCCTCGAGGCCGCGCCCCTCGCCCACCCGGCCCGCTTCGTCACAGCGGCCGGGGCGCGGCGCGCGGGCTGCGCCTCGGCGCCCCCCCGTCTTGCGGGGGGCGGGCCCGTGCGGGCAGGGCAGCGGCAGCCCCCCCCCTTGATGAGAGGACAGCACGCACACGCACACACTCCTCGAGTAGGGGATCGACTGCAGAGCTGATGTACCCCAACATTGCTTTCCCTGCCGAGCCCATGAGAAGAACGCGTAGAATAGTCAGTGCATCTACGGTGCATTGTAGGTAGGCTTCGTAGATTCGAAGGGACATCAATTTTCAGATACATCGATTGTGTAGTCAAACCCCAACTCGAACACTCAAGCCTACACTCAGACTTCCAGGGGGCAGAAATAAAAACGGGCAAGGCGTTGAAGGCGCTGCGGGTATGGGTGAGAGTTATCGGTCCCCGAGGAGGGACCCCCGTTCGGTAACACACACACACACACCCATAATTAGCCTCCCCCAGGTTTACATTCGAAAAAACTGGGGGTCGCATAGGTGTGGGTGCCAGTTGTCAACCCTTGATCCCTGGCCCCCCCCGCGTGCCTACTTTGGGAGGCAACTTTTGGGATGTCTTCGTCAGAACGATGGAGGACGAATAGTAGGTCCGACCAATTAGCTAGACTAGGCCGGATGGAGCGGGATCAAGCAAGATTACAGTGAACACTATGCCAGATTGAACGCGATGAAAATTAAGTTGCAAACAAGCATTGACAAGTTTTCTACCAAGGAAAAACAAAGCGCCGGTCTTGAATTAAATTCAAGGAAGTTGTATCCCAACCTCGTGGCACCGCGGTCAGATCATAGCGGACGCCCTCCCTCCGGCTCGGCGCCGTCTTGGGGCCTCTGTTACACTCGGACCTAGCCCAGAAGAACATCCCTCAAGAACACAAGGGCCCTCCGCCGGCCAGAACAAGCAGAACATCCAAGGGTACCCTCCCCAGGGTGCACAATAAAGTCCATCAGCGACGAAGAACACCAGGGCACCCTCCCCGAGCCGACCTCGATTTTATACCTCGGTCCGACTGTAGTTACGTAGCACCCCGCACTTGCGGACAAGAGCGAGGGCGCGGTGGCGCACGAAGCTCCCTCTCGCCCAGAGCCCCTCGCCCGGGACCCCCCGCCCAAAACCCCCCGCTCGGGACCCCCCACAACGACCACGCACGTCCAGGGATGACCTAAGACCGTTCGGGCTCCCTCACTCTGAGAAGCGCCCCGCGGCGACAGCGGATCCCGAAAGTGATGCGGTCGAGAGCCCATGCGAGCGACGATCAGGAACGGGTCTAGTGCGAAGCCACGTAGCAACCCTACGCCGCAGCTTACGCGGGCCGCCGGCGCGGCGCGCCACCCTGGGAACGAGGGCGCTTACGCGCGACCTTACGCAGGCAGCTGACGCGCCAATGTCGGCGCAGAGGGCCCCGTTGTCGTTGCGTCGCTCCTGTGTGTTTTCTCCCCTTTGCCGCGCCGACCGCCCCTCGCCTTCTGCCCGTCTCTCCCTGAGGGCCACCGCGAGCGAGCAGAGGCAGAGGGGGGTCCTCCTCCTCCTCCTCCTCCTCCTCCTCCTCCTCCTCCTCCTCCCCCCCTCCTCCCCCTCCTCCGCTCCTCCTCCTCCTCCTCCCCCTCCCTCCTCCTCCTCCTCCTCCTCCCTCCTCCTCCTCCTCCTCCTCCTCCTCCTCCTCCTCCTCCTCCTCCCCCTCCCCTCCCCCCCCTCCCCCTCCCCCTCCCCCTCCCCCTCCCCCTCCCTCCTCCTCCTCCTCCCTCCTCCTCCTCCTCCTCCTCCTCCTCCTCCTCCTCCTCCTCCTCTGGAGCCTCTGGAGCCTCGGACAGGTCTATCCCTCAGCGAAAGATAGCCTGCAAAAACCAAATTCAATGCACTGGGAATGGAACTCCAACCTCCCTCTTGCTGGTTGGGTCCACTCCTCTGCGGAGCATCTTCAGTGCTCTCGCTCCTGCGTCCGAGGGGTGGGAGCAGCGCGCGGCCAAGTCTTTGACCTGACGCCGCGCGTGTCGCCCACACACGGAACAACGAAAGAGATCTGATTCGCCCAGGCGCCACATCCGATGAGACTCATGCACTTTCGCTAAGACTCTGGGGATTCCTGGGCACACATTCTGAACTACCACACTACGTTTCTTTGCCGACTTGCCGCAAACTCGACAGCCCCACACACCGTTTGTAATGTGCAGGAGATGTTCTTTGTCATCGGGGTCGATCCTAAGCTGTAGGACGGGCTCGGCTGGCCCAACTGCGAGCCTAGACTGTTTCGCTGTCGGCTTCTTAAAAGGCTTAACATCGGGAAAACTCAACTCGCTGA